GCAAGGAGTAAGGAGACAAGTGTTCTGTACCCCGGAACAAATCCAAAGAAGGGCAGAAGATGTCTAAGTCATATTAGGAACCGTGATTGACCTGAGAATCTAGTCCTAGTTAGCAGAATATTTCGGAGGCAAACCATAAAGGGCAAGAAACATGAAGAAAACACCACGATTCTCGAGTTCTTTCTTGGCCTCGATTTGATCAGGGGCGGCAAGGGGGAAAAGTTCATTATAATCATGAAGAGCTGCGTGAACTCTCCCACGATAGGCAGCCATTGGGCCATCAAATTGCCAAGGAGCAATAAGAGTCATTAAATCATGACACACTCCATATAAACGCTGAGTGTCATTAGTATAGAGGGAACCCGCCTCTGTCCAAACCGATTCACAAGTGATGTGAGGTTGGAAAATCGATTTGTTAGAGGGGTGGAGGGTGGACTTGATCACACTGGATAGTTGAGCATCAATTTTCTCCCACTTGGCACGGTCAGCCACTGCCATTGGCTCAACGGTAATGCTGAGGTGGTCACGATACTCTAGGCCAGTAATCCAAAGGGTAATATCAGAAGCCCAAGTAGGTAGTTTGAACTGTCCAACTTCTCAGTCAATAATGGCAAGTTTGAAAAAATAGGACCGTCTGCCTTAGAGGGGTCTGAAGATCTAAAAGAAGACATATTTAGTAAAGGAAAAGGGTACTTGAACCATGGTGAACCATGGTGTACACTACTGGACCCACCAAATGATGTCGGATCGTGATGCAAATCAGGGGTAAGGATCACTTGAGAAGGGCGAACCAGCACTGGGAGGCTCGCCGGCATATAGTGTCGAACGCGTGGTCACGTGCCGCTGGGAAGGGTATTTGGCACCTGGAGGAGGAGGTGCCTGCGGGCGTGTGAGGACAAGTATGGACTTGTCGCTGCAGGGTTGAGTAAATCGGTGAATAGTGAGTCGTTATTTGGTGGTGGCGGTTGGAAAGGTCGTCGGCAAAGGTGACAACTAGAGAGATGCCGGAAAAGGCCGTCGGAAACGGGCGACAATCAAAGATGCGAACCGAGGATGACAACAGTCTGCAAAAAAAAAAAAATATATCACCGGAGACTGTAGGTCTACCCAAAAAAATTATTGAAAACGTCTCTCTCTGCCTCTGAATACCATGTTGAAGAGGAAAAACAGATATATATATATATAGGTTTATTACATTAATTATGAATAAATAGAGGATATTTTGTTTCCTCTAAATTTGATATTATGTATACAAAATATTATATTTTAATTTTAAGTCTATGCTATTATGACAGAATATTATATTTCAACAATAACTAATATAGTGTAATCATTACTAGTTGTAACTACTCCTACACAAAAGCTTCTATTATAAATATCTTGTTTTGTAAAGAAGCACTGGATCAATTCTATTCTCTCATCTTTCAGTAATGAGAAATAGTTATATTCCATCTTCTACTTTTTCTAATATGGCATCAAGAGTTTAAGATCCTAGGGTTTCCTCGATGACGGATTCTTCAACTCCACCATCGTCCTCACCGTACTACGTTCCGCTGACCTTCTCTCGTACGATTACAAAGAAGCTCATTGAAGGCAATTTCCTCCTATGGAGACAGTAGATTGAACAGTCATCAAAGGTCATATAAGCTACACATACCTAGTTAATCCTCATATCTTCATGGTTTCTCTCTAATGATTAAGTAAATGGATCTATCAATCCTGCGTATGAAGCTTGGGAACAGCAAGATCAGTTACTCTTCTCTTGGCTTCAATCGACTTTAACCCTTAACATCCTCATAAAGATTATAGGCTGTGTTCATTCTTAGGAGCTTTGAGAAAAACTCCATGAGCACTTTGACGTGCATATGCAGAACCACCAGATAATGTTGTGATAGAATTTTAAGAATTATCTTTGGAGCCTCACTTATCATTTAGTGCCTTGATTGGAGGGTTAGGGGTAGGTATTATGAAATTTCAAGGATCCATTAATGGGATTGTGGTACAAATTTTACTGGACAGTGGCAGTTCCGATAATTTTCTTCAACCTCGATTAGCCCATTGCTTGAACTTACCTGTTGAGCCAACTTCGGGTTTTCAGGTTTTAGTGGGGAATGGTCATGCTTTGACAGTTGAAGGCATGGTAAGGAATGTGGAAGTCATGATTCAAGGACATTCCATACATTTACCTGTTTATCTTTTGCCTGTGTCAGGTGCTGACTTAGTGCTAGGAGTTGCTTGGCTAGCCACATTGGGTCCACACGTTTCAGATTATAGTGAGTTATCACTGAAATTTTATTTGCATGGCAACTTTATCACTCTGCATGGAGAGAAACCAAAGCTTCCTATGCAGGCTCAGTTTAATCACATACGTCGTATGCATAGGACTCATGCTATTTCTGAAATTTTCACCATGCAATTGGAGGTTCCTTATTGTGCTGATGATCTGTGGTTACAAATACCAAATAATATAGATCCAGATTTAGCCTTGCTGTTGCACACATACAAGGATGTTCCTTTACCACTTACTAGCACTGAACAATTGCCAGTTATTCAGCCACTGGCTATTTTACAAGAACGGCTTATTATCAGGGGACAAAAGCAGGTACCACAATTACTCATTCAATGGGAAGGTCTGGATGATTCTGAAGCTACGTGGGAGGACAAGGATGTGATTGCAACAGCTTATCCTTCCTTCAACCTTGAGGGCAAGGTTGTTTGTAAAGGGGGAGGAATTGTAATGAGTGAAAATAGAGAAGAAAACCAAGCAGAGATTATGCAGAGGGGGTGGGAAGTGGTGAGGTGGCACATGATCAGCATGAGGTGGAAAATAGGAGGAGCACACGTGTGAAACTCACTAATTCAAGGCTACGTGGATTCAAATATTGATAGTAGTATAAATTGGTGGTTAGAGGAAAGAGAAAAGGGGCAGTAATTGATTCGATTTTCTCTCTCTCTGGACTTGGTTGCTTTTGGGAAACATTCCCTCCGTCATTTCCATTTTCTGTTATTGCTATTTGTTCTTTTCTGTACTGAATGCGAAGATTGGAAAAGAAATAGCCTCACGGCATGAATTGCCATTTTCATATAACATCATAGCTTTCTATTACTATATTCTTCTTTATCCATAACGATCTTGTCTGCAATGTCAAGTTTGTTCCAAATTTGGATACACTACTCGGCTGCTAACATCGCTTTGATCCAACCTATGCTGCTAATCAATCCTATTCGTCGAGTTGACAAAGTTTGCGATATCAGTCTCACACAGGTGTACATATTGCATTTGCTATAAGTTTAGTTAGTCAATTTATGCAACCTTCGAGAGAAGTCCACTTACAAGCCACTCATAGAATTCTACAATATCCTAAAGTAACCCTGGGAAGATGAATTTTATACAAAAAGAATGGAAATGCAATTCTTGAAACTGATAGAAGGTCCACTGTTGGATATTGTACCTACCTTGGTGGAAATTTAGTAATTTGGAGTTTTGGAGGAGTAAAAAATATTGTGGCTTAGTTAGTGTTGAAGCCGAGTTTCGAGCAATGGCACAGGGAATTTGTGAGCTAGTTGAAAATTATTTTATAAGAGTTCAAGATTAAATGGTATAGGGCAATGAAAGTCTGTTGTGATAATAAATCAGTTATCAGCATAGCTCATAATCCTTTTCAACATGAATCAAACAAAGCATGTAGAAATTGATACGACTTTATCAAGGAAAAGCTTGACTGGAGCTTGATTTGTACTTCATATGTTCCTTCACAAAATCAACTTGCTGATATTCTTACCAAAGGGTTATGCAGTTCAGATTTTGAAAGAATTGTATGCAAGCTGGCAATGGAAAACATTTATTCTCCATCTAGCGGGGGGAGTATTGGAAATAAGGATATTTTAGGAAATAATAACTTCATTATTTATTTTTCCAAGTCGCCTAGATACTTGGTATAGCTAGGTTCAATGCATCATAGGAAGTAGTGGTTTCTTAATTGTTCTGTTGTTTGTGATAGCATTAATTATCTTTGTAATACTGTTAAACATAAATAAATTCTTTCAACCGGGTGGAATTATCACTCAGTGCATATTCAGAAAATATTTGTTTCTTTCTTTAAACAGAGAGAATAACTGCCTATAGTTTTTTCACTTTCTTGTTCTTACTAAATTTCCATTTTCGCATCATTAATGCTGTATTATTTTGGGACAAGATTGATATCATCTATGATATAGTGAATATTTAGTGTTACTTATGTATTTTGGTGCCCTATCACATTATTCCTTATAATTGGACAATTTACTATGAGTTTCTAGATGTTTTTAGGTATATTAGTTAAAAGGTCCTTATGCTGTTGCTTTATAATTTCTATGATTTCAGGAAGATTTTTATGCTGTTGTGGATTGGGCATACAAGATTGATCCTTTATGTTGCATATCAATGCATGGAACTACAGAACGCTATCTCTCTAGTCAAAAAGCTGATGCAGCAGGATTTGTACGCATTCTGCTTGGTGACTTGGAGTCTCGCATATCTATGTTGTTCAGTCGTGTATGTGACTACATTTATAAAAAATTGTCATCATAAACATTTATCAGATTGAGATGCTAACCCAATTCATATAAATGGATATCTTTTTCAGTTTGTTGATGAAGCATGCCATCAGATTGAAAGACATGAGCGCAATGCTCGCCAAACGGGTGTCCTACCGTACATTCCTAGGTAAAATAATCTTCGGATCGAGGTTTACTTTTCCCCTCTTTTCTCGAAAGGAAATTGATTTCTTTTTTTTTTAAAAAAAAAACGAAAGCTATATCTTCTGATCGAGTATATTTTTTAAAAATCATTAGCTTTTTTATAATTTAGATAAGTAAAAAAATATTAGTTAAAAAAATATTAAAGTTAATAATTTATCAAAAAATAAAGACAATTATTTGTCAAAAAATAAAAAAATCATATTAATTTTATTTTCTTTATTATTTTTTATTTTTTTTAATTAAATCTAGTAGTGTAAATCCATAATTTCCTTTAAAATTCATAAAATATTTTAAAACCTTATAATATAAATTCATTAAAATCTGAATTATAAAATCTTGATTAAAATCCAAATTCATTAATAGACTCCTATATTTCCGGCTCTCTTTGGATTGAACCTATTTTTTTTCATAGAAAGGATAAAAGAATGTGTTCTAGTTTCTCACAACAAGATGATGATTGTTGCACTATACACGATCCACCAATCCTTTGGTTTCAAGTTCCATCTATCTTGCAAAGAATCAAATTGGCCAAGCTCTTCTCCAGCACTTCAGAATTTGACAAATTTTGTGGTTACCTCTACCCTTTATTAGAAGTATATACGAACGGTGAATGATTTGGAAGATTGAATCTCGAACGTTATGCATTTAAGCCGCTGATGAGTTGTGCTGGATGAAAATTGAGATTTGAGAATAAATAAGAATAATGAAAAGCCTAATTTTTTTATAGAGGTTTTATTTTACCACTTAATTTTTTTTTTGAAAAATGTCCTGGGTGTGTATCGGATATGCTTGAACTCACGAGAATGCAACATGTACTGGACCCACGAACCCGGTACATGTATGGCATGAATATTGGAGTACCCATGCTTCAGAGTCCATATATAGGTTATCATCTGCACTTAATTCCCCGTTCCTTATACAGTTCTCTTCAAACAATAACCAGATTATCATTTCTTAAAGACATTCGAAAGTGCATACTTTTCCACCCTCAGACCTTACAATTCTCACAAACTAGACTTTTAAGTCTTATGAATGTCTCGGTTTTTTTATGGTAACCCTACGTCACACAGAGGGTACAATTGTCTCTCACCTGCTAGCCGGTTTTTAACCACATTAAATTCGGGTTAGGTTATTTTAGGTTCTCTAAATTGGATGATGTTTCATAAGAAATTATTTGAACTTTTAAGGACAAAATTTGAAGATGTAAAGGTGACACCATTTCTATTTGTTATGTTTTTAGGCAGCAATTAAAAGTCAGAACCACCCCACTATTTACTTTCCATACTGTATTTAATATCGCAAGTCTGGTGTTCAGTAATGTCTCGATTGTTTTCATATAGATTTGCATCCCTTGCAACACGGATGGAGCAGTATATATCAGGACAGTCGAGGGATTTGGTTGACCAAGCATACACAAAATTTGTAAGTGGTTCCTTTTCAGATCTGTCTTGTTTTGTGATGTCTTCCAACCAGGGACGGAACTAGAAAAAAAAATGTCAGGGGTGAGGGCAAAAGTTTATTACACGGTTTTAACAATAACTAATTTGTAGAATTAATAATTACTTAAAAGGATAGAAATTAAATATTTGATACCAAAAAAACAAGCCAGCAAAACACATGCACCGACCTCCGATACACAAATTGTCTTGAGTTTAATTCATTTATTTAACACTTCTATACCTTTTACTAGTCAATGCAATCCAATTTAACTAAAACGACAATGGGTCTGTTTGTCTGAAATTTTTTTTTCATAAAAAAGTATATTTTTTAATAAAATAAGTAATTTTTTGATATGTTTGTTTAAACTTAAAAAAAAAATAGTTTTCTTCTTTTTTTTTTTTTAAAAGCAGATCTTGATTGCTTCTTAAAGAATTGTTTCTTTTTTACAAAAAAATTCTAGAAAAATTTTTGTTTTATTTTTAAAAAACTCTTCCAATATATATAAAGTACTAACATATATCACCTGATCCACAATATTTATTGGTTTAATTTTTCGCACTTTGAGTTTTTTTTTTTTCTTTTGAATATAAATTGGTTCTTTATAGATTGTTCAAGGAAAACTATTAATAGAATATTTTAAGGAAATATAGCATTGGTTAATTGATAATGATATATCATGTGTTTATTTGTATATTTCCAAAAAGGAAAAAACATATTCCATTGCAATAATAATCTAAAAGGTGCCAATTTTTTTAATATATTTTAAATAAGGCCGAATCTGATTACATATTTAAATATGTGCAAGGAATCGATACAATATAAACATTTTTGCTAGAATTTCATTTCATAGCAAATAGGCTTGGGGGGCAAATTTTTCTTTTAAATGTATATTTTAAACAATGTCTGATTCTTTGCAAGGTAGATGCAATTCAATGTTTATTGTAGGCAAAGACGTAGTTCCGCCCCTGCATACAACTTAGCTGAGGAATCTAGTCAATTTCTCTCGCACTTGCTTTACATCGATAATGAAACTAAAATAAATAGTTTAGACTTTGTTGTCTATGTTGAAAATAAAACATAAAAAACATAGGTGTATTACTAAAATAAAATATAGAGGTTCAAATTAGAAAATTTGCAACCTCACACAAAAAAAGGAGTAAAAACTGATTTGATATATTTGAGCTATAATCTCAATTTTGCACACATAAAAAATATTTACAACAAGTGCTTAAATACTAAAATTGGCTAACTCTTGATTGGATAAAACAAATCGTAAAATATGATTAAGCTAACAAGCAAAAATCACTTCCTTGCACAACTTAATTTTTTTTGAACATAAGCAACCTTTAACCAAATTTACAAGCAAAATAGAAAATTGTAGAGACTTTAAAATATTTAATTATGACAAAGAAAAAATCTCAACTGTCAACATTCTTCATTGGAATTTTTCTTCATCACTTCAAGCTTTGACCTTTATCATCTTTTACACTTCTTTGGATCACCTTCAAGTATATGAACATCAACATATTTAACATCTCCAAGCTTAACATTAATTTTCTCACTTGAAATAAGAACCCTTGCAATTTCCTTAATCCACTTTCCATCTTGAAAGACCTTTTTCAAGAATTGTAGCAACATTATCAATATTGTTCTTCTTCACAAAACTTATCGTTGAATTGATAAGAAGTACAATAATTCAAACTAAATTTTGCCAATCAAAAAATTTATCTCCTCCATCGACCAAAGTCACAACTATGATTGTTACAGCTTCCATGACCCATAAAAAAGGATTCTCCATTAATCCCAAAAGCTTTAAAAACTCATTTCTTTCTTCTCTTCAAGTTTGTTGTGCCCAAAGATCATCTTATCATGAGTAGCTTCTACTGTGAGTTTATTTAAATCACATTTTAGAGTTTGAAATGCTTCCTCAAGTGATCCATTTTTCAAATCTTCATCTTTTTTTAAAAAAACATTCGTGGTTTTTTTCTTTCACTATATTGGAAAACTTTTATTTCTCATTTTAATGGACATAAGCTTGCATCCAAAAAGGTCAAAAATGGAGCATCCGATATTTTTAAAACACAAAGAATAATTCTTTTTAAGCATTTATCCCACGCTCAAAAGATTTTGATTTATTTCAAACACAAATAAAACATCTAAAATATATTTTATATCTGAAGGAGTTTCAACAACTCCTTTACCTTTGACATCAACACTTTCTCCATTGCCTATGGTGACTTTGGAGATTTGGAACTGATTTAATTCCTTGAAAATTATGAGTCAGATGATTTGTGCATCCATTATTTATGAGCCATGTCTCTTTGCTTTTGCTCGTTGAATAAGATGTAGCAGCAAATAGATGTTCCTCACATTACTCTTCATGCTCCACAATTTGGGCTTGATGTTCATGTGGGTTTGTTTTATTTTTACAAATCTTCTCCACATGACCAAACTGATTGCAAGCCCTACATTTAATGCTTGGCCTAAACCAACAAAAATTTTCAATATGGTTGTTCTTCTTACAATGATGGCATGGGGGAAACTTGTTTTTCCAACCTTTTTTGTTATTACCTTCTTCCTTTTTTTTCCTCGTGTATGCCACAAAAGTACCTTCAGTATTTTTTTTCATCCTTAAAGATCTTCTTTGTTCAATAGCTTGCAAAGTATTGACAAGCCCTACAATTGATATTTGAGAAAACCTTTATTTTCTTTAAGAGAAGAGATTTTGGATTCAAATGTCTCTAGAAGACACCAAGATTTTTTCCACAACATGTTGATCATTAAGTTTCTCACCAAGTAATTTGATTTGGATAAGATTCTTCAAAAATCTGTTAGTAAAATCTTTGATAGATTCACTTTTTTTCATTTTTACAGCTTCAAACTCTCTCCTTAAGTTCAATATCTACATTCTTTTCGTTCTTTCTCTCCCTTGGAACTCCTCCTGTTGCTTACCCATGCCTCTTTTGTAATTTCAAAAGTTAGAATCTTGATAAATACATCATCATATAGTGCTACCTGTATAATGACAAGAGCTCTTCCTTCTTTTGTCACTTCATCATTGTGACTCCTCATTTGAGTTACTGTTGGGTTTTCTGGTAACGAAGGTGAATTACTTCCATTTTCTACTATAACCTGCAAACTTTGAGTTATGAGATAAGTCCTCATTTTTGCAGCCCACAAATGATGGTTTTTACCTGCAAATATAGGGGGTAGAAGTAAAGAACTACAATTGGAAGCCACTTTTGTGTTTGGAGGTTTTTTTTTGTTGGTTTTCTCTCTCTTTTTTTTCTCTCACAGACCCTTAAAGATCAATAAAGCTTTGATACCATGTTGAAAACAAAATAATATCAAAAATAGAGGCGTATGACTAAAACAAAATATAAAGGTTCAGATTTGAAAATTAGCAACTTCACACAAAAAAAAGAGGCAAAAACTAATATGATATATTTGAGTTATGAATTCAATTTTGCACACATTAAAAGTGTTTACAACAAGTACTTAAATATTAAAATTGATTAACTCTTGATTGGGTAAAACAAACAGCAAAATATGACAAAGTTAACAAGCAAATATCACTTGTATAAAAAATCTCAACTACCAACAGTCTATTGTCGTGTGTATAGATCAACTAGAGTCTTTGCTCCAGATTAATTTTTGGTGAGCATGCATTTACTCCTCCACTCCGGAATTTTTTGTCTACCTCTTTATTTCCTTTTGGATTTGTGAGAAAAGGTGGTTAAAGGGTTGCTGGAGTCGTTTTTTTTCTTCTCATGCATGGCAGTGCATTTTGTTAGAATGAATTGCAAGAGTTTTCATGGCAGGATAGTCTCTTTGCATCTACATAGGTTTATGCTTAGATTTTTCAGAGGGTTCCTTTTTTCTTTTGCTGTTAGGAGGTTTCCTGATTCTCCTGTTCCGTATTCTTCTTTTCTCTTGTACTACATATGATTCAATTCCATAGAAATTAACGATTTGGAATAGGAATTCTGATTCTATATTTGACACAGTTAGAAATTAAATGTCACGGAAAATGATTCCGCTGTTTGATGTAAGAGATACAATAAGGATGGGATCCAATTGATTTGAATGACATAAATTACTCTAATGAAGAAGTAACACTTTTTTCTTCCATATATAAATTGAGTTCTCATAAAGTATTTAAAAAGACTTATAAGCTTTCAATTGCACTTGCTTAACTTGTTTATTATTTTTTCCTGCATGTATATATTATCTATTCCCTGGCTTGACAACCTATAAATTTTTTTTTTTGCTGTATTCTTGATTTTCTATAGACAATGATGCATCCTTAGTGAATAAAGAATTGATAGTCTTAAGTCATCTGCACTATGTTAATTAATAGATACTACAGGTGATTTCTATTGTTTACTACTTAGCCCTTTTGTCTGCAGTCCAAGTAGTATTAAAACGTATTTTTTTATGTTTCAGTTTTTTTTCTCTTGTTCTTCTACTCAATTTTTCAACATGTAACCAATATTCTCATATTGTTTACTGGTGGGATTGTTGCTTGACAGGTTAGCATAATGTTTGTAACTTTGGAAAAAAATGCACAAGCAGATCCAAAGTATGCAGATGTTTTTCTTATCGAAAACTATGCGGCATTTCAGAATAGGTAATTTTTAGGCATCCCCCTGCCAAGAGGAGGCTTGAGGTTGTTTCAATTCTTCCATTTTTTTTTGTTAGGTAATTCTGTAAAGAGACAAAAGCATACTTTCACTTATTATGTTGTTCTTTTTGCTCAGTTTGTATGACCTTGCCAATGTGGTGCCCACTTTGGCCAAGTTTTATCATCAAGCTAGTGAAGCCTACGAGCAAGCTTGCACCCGCCATATTAGCATGATTATCTACTATGTAAGTATTTTATTTTTTATTTTATGTCTTTCTGTCAACCATACTAGTATTTATAGCCTGTAAGACGTAACTCATTATCCTTTTTTCTGCCTTGGAAAGCAATTTGAACGCCTATTCCAGTTTGCTAGAAGGATTGAGGACTTAATATTGAATAATGTTGCACCTGAAGAGGTTAGCTTCTGTGTAATTCAGTTTGTTAATCTTCATATAAACTAAATAATCTAAAAATCACATCATTCTTACGATGAAAAATGTTTAATGGTGTGAATAGTTTTCCTGAAAACTTATAGATGTTAGATATTTCACATTGATTAAAAATAAGATCATAATAATATATATAAAACTGAAAAATAATACTCATCTCAAAAGTTAATTTTATAAGTTTGAATTAGATTCTGAACATTTTCTTAAGAAAAATACACAAATATTAAAATCATTTATTCTCTCTCCCTTCATACATGCATCTCCCTCCTGATCGGTTAAAACTCCATTTTTAGCACTTTTCACAAAAAATCGTTTATACAAAATAACATTGTTATTCTTACACTTATGTCAGTCTAAAAGCGTAAGAGTGTGTCGAGAACATCTATAAATAATACAGACACATTTTTAAGCTATTAATGATATAATAATTTTAATTTGATTTAAATATATTTTTAAGCACTTACAAATATGACTATTTTGATTTAGTCCTTATAATTTTTTTTTATCAAATTTTATTTAACACTTTTTTAGTGTTATTTTTTAGTCTGCATTGTTAATTATATTTAGTTTATTGTTGACATAGTTAACAAAATAAAGAATATTAAAATAATGATGGAGACTAGGGTGGGAAAAGAAATTAGGTAGTCTATGGTGGACTATTATTATTTATCATTAGAAGAATCTTACTCTCATAATTTTAATTTTATGGTGGATTCTCTGCGCAATTTTTTCCCTTTATCCTTCCTCCTTTGCTCGCCTTTAACCATTGCTGGGTGTTTCCATGCCCCACTCTGACAAACCAATCTACCATAGAGCACTCTCCAATCCCGCCCTTATTGCCCAATATCAACATGTTTGTGCCCTAACATGCTAAACACTAGCATACTTTTCTCTTAACTAAGAGATGCACGTTCGAAGCAACTTTCGCCTGAAGAATGCTGTGATGAAGATTCGCAGAGCCACAGTGCAAGGACTTATATGAACAATAGTAAAATCCTCACTCGTGAAGGAAACTGAACTGGCGTGGCCAGCACCCACCGTGCAACCTCCCCCACTGTAAATATGTTCACAAGTTTCACATCAAGCAAGGCCTTAATGAAATTTTATGCAAGTGTTTCATTATTGACTTGAGTGAGGACCTCGATAAGTACTCTAATAATAATGTAACTCTATTAATGAAATTGGGTCTGACAGAGTGCGATGCAGAGACACCAGGCGACGGTTGAAGGAAAAGGCAAGGAGGAATGTTAAAGTTATTGTGGTGAAGGAAAAAAATTCTGTACAAATAGCACACCATAAAATTGTAAGGATGAGATTAGTCTAATGATAAATAAGAATGATCTATCATAAACCATCTAATTTTCTTTCCCACCTTAACATCCATAACAAAGAATATTTTAAATTAAAATAATTATATTATTTATGTGCATAATTTTTATTTCGATCAATTAAAATTATAATAACAATACTAAATTTGAATTTAAAATTTTGTATATTATCTCAACTCTCCTCTCCACCATTAGGTCAATCCTAGTTATTCATCTATATGCATAATTTAATTAAGTATAATATTTATTATTATATCAGTATTATAATATAATTGTATATAATTTGTTTTTAAAATTTATTTTAAATTTTTAATATATTATAAATAGATTTTTATTGCTTTTAATATTATTTTTACTGTTCAAATTATAATTTACTCTTAGCATTATACTTTTTAAAATATTATAATTTACTTAGATACTTAGAATATACTACTTTAATGTTATTTTTGTATTTCAATTCTTTAATTTTGACTAGTTGTAATAAAATTTATTCATAAAGAATGATTTTTTTCTAAAGACAAAAGTAGTAAATTATGTGCCTAAATAAATTATATTTTTTAAAACAAAAGTACAATGTTAAAAGTAAAAAAAGTAAATTAGTAAATTGAGATTTAAGAATAATATTAAAATCCATAATCAGTGTTCATAATATATTAAAAATTGAACATATAAAATTAAATTATATGTAATTATCTTATTTATATAAAATAATAAACACATTACTTAATTAAATTATACACCTAAAAATAATTTAATTATTTTAATTTAAAATATTTTTTATCTTAATTTATTCTTTATTTATTTAATCATATGAGCACTAAATTAATTAGAATTAATGGTAGGGACTGATAAAATAAAAATGTCAAAGATCTAAAATTGACAATTTTGTTTTTCCTAGACTAAAAATATATTTAAGATATTTAATTTCTTACTTGTACAATCTAAATTAGGAAGTCTGATCATATATAATGCAATATATAATTAGAAAATAATGTTAATGATTAATTAATATTTAGAACAACTAATGATACTTATTCTTGTGTAACATTTTAGAAGATATCATCGTAAGCTGTGTTTTCAAGCTATATATATCCATTCAAGTTTTTCAAGCTTAAGTCATAAGGCTGAAGATATTTCTCGATAGAATAATAAAAACCTCGTACATGATATGTAGTAATACAAGTTCTGTACAAGTGCTATACGGAGCTTTAGAAAAAAAGATACATAAAATATAATAAAAACCCCTACATATAGTCTATAGGGTATCTTAAACTAAAATCATATTCTCTAGCAAGTGTCAAGTGACCTCAGGTTCCATCTGCGGGTATCTTTCCTGGTTATTCTGAAAAATATAAATAAAAAAACAAATTAATGAAAAAATTAAATGAATGCTCAAAGATGTAACTATCATGCATGTGACATCTATTTGTACAATGAGTATAGACACGTGGATTATTTCATTGTTTGCGGAGAATTTTCCCGACAAATAAAAAATTGTCTTTTTCTAATATATTTTTCATGTGTTTGTGAACTAATTAAATTGCTAAACATTTTATTTATAGCCGGATATTTCACTTTCTAACATTGACAATTGTCAATTTCAGATTCCTTTCCAGGTTGGGTTGTCAAAAGTGGATCTGCGGAAGACGTTAAAATCCAGTTTGTCAGGGGTAAGGGGTGACTATCTTTTCTGAAAACAATTTTGTAAGTGGCAATGGCATACTTATATTGTGAATTGTCTTTGCTTTATAGGTGGACAAGTCCATTGCTGCGATGTACAAGAAGTTGCAGAAGAACTTGACTTCGGAGGAACTGTTACCTTCCTTATGGGATAAATGCAAGGTATGTTGTTCGGATTTCTATTCAAATATCAAATCGTTACTCGTAAAAGTGGTAATTTGGGTTGTCGTATTCACGTCTTATACGATATTATATCATTCAATAATAATTATAATCTCGAGTAGTAGGTAGTAGGTTCATTAGATTTTCTTTTTAAGTAAAAAATAAATTTTAAAAAATAAAGACTTAAGGATCTAATTTTGTAAATGAGATTAACAATAATAGTAGACCTTGGGATTGGACTTATCAATCTTCTTTCAAGTATCTAAATGATCAAATATATATTCTTTTCATATATCAATATCATCATTGTCAATTTAATCAAATTTCATTAATTCATTAATAAGATGAAATGTTAATCTTCTTTCTTAAATATCGATCCCTTGAGTATTTAGAAAAGAAGTTGAGTTGAGTTCTAATGATTATATTGACTAACAAATTTAACTCAACAAATTTATGAGATGATTCATTTTAGATCAAAATTTAAAGAGTATTTCCCAATAAAATGTCAAATCAAAAATCAAGTTATAGGTAATCAATCTATAACAAGCATGAAAAGCACGAACAAATCATTGATATGAATATAAAAAGAAGAATATACACAAATCAAAAAAAGATACATAAGAATTAGAAGATTATATTCAATTCTAATAAGGATGATTTAGCTATCGATTTATATGGTTGCCTTCAAGAATATGATGAAAGGAGAAAAAAAAAATCCACAATTGATTTGATATTAAACTCCAAAATTAGTGGAAAAGAACCTAGCTTGTCGTGTCCAATATCCCAAAAAAGACAAGAAGCATGAGCATCCGAAAATACAAAATTCTCTCTTTTTTTATGATCAGTTTTTGGTCCAAATAAAACGGAGGTTGGCTTAAGCCATATTTTTCTTGTTTAAGCAAGATTTCCTTCAAGTGTAAATGCTTTTCATCCAAAATTTGGCCTTTCCTTATTTCATATTTCTTCACCTTGAAGTATTTTTTTCTTTTTCAAATTTGTCTTAAGCAAGAATTTCTGTCAAATTACTTTTTCTTTTTCTTTTCTTCTTCCTTCTATCATGCATAAAAAATAATAATTAAAACTTACAAAACTATAAAATACCTATTATAAATTACTTAGATAATAATCTAGTAAATTTAAAACAAATTTTAATTCCAAGTGACAGATAATTCTACATTAAATCTTCATTTTTACCTATTAATGTAAGTAAAATTGGCGCTTAACATATGCTCTACATAATTCCAATCTTGATCGCTTAATTGTTCTCGGATAGCCTATTTACAGTAAGAATGAGCTGAAAATATTTGGCTGAGAGCATTACTACTGAAATTCCACAAACTTTAAAATGAGCATAAGAAATAAAGAATCTTTTTTGTATTGAATGCTCAGACTTCTAACTGCTTCATCCCCAACAAGTATTGTCAAATTACTATATGAAAATGGTAATATTGCATTTCTGGGGGAAAAGAGGCCGGGATTGTTTAGACAAAAAGATGTTCCTCGGATAATTAACGAGTGTAGTTAGTAATGTGATTTACTTTATTTTGCGACGTTTAAAATGTATATTAAATGTTTCTTAAAAATGCCCCATAAATACTTATCAAGTTCCTCTTAATAATGGGAATCGTCCAATAAAATATAGGTTTAAATATTCTTTTTTCCTTAAATTCAAAATTTGTGATTTTAGTTCATTAAATATCTTTTTTATTCTTTAAATTTGAAGTATATATTTTTACATAAATATTTATAAAAGAAAAGGTTAATCTTTTTTTTATATGTCAAATAATTATGGATACTTACTTATACTCCTTTATCAAATATTAGACTTGATCATCAATTTGGACATGAAGTCATGGCTAGAAATATCACTTTACTTTTATAGCAGCAAACTTAAATATGTTTTTAGTTTTTCAAATTTAGGATGAATTTGTTTTTTGTCTATCTAATTTAAAGTTAATTTTTTTAGTTTGTCTGATTTGAAAAAAAAATCTTATTTTAATCTATATAATCAAACTTTATTAGTAAATCTATGAAATATTTTCATACAAAATTCATCAACAAGTATTTTTATTAGTGAAAATATCATATTAAATTTAATTGATGTTACATAATTATCTCAATTTGTTAAATGTTACGTGTGACTTGAGGGACTAAAATAAAAATTTTAAAATTATAAAAATTAAAATGATCGATTTTAATTTTTAAAAATTAAAAATAAATTTATCCTAAATTTAAAAGGATTAAAATCATATTTAAACTTAAGAAAAAATATTTATTAAGTGCTTATTGAAAATTTTATCTAAATATTTAAATATCTTTTAATCAATCTCTTTAGGAATTTGTTGGGAAGATCATTACAGTATTATCTAACATTAAGGATGTACCATTCCTCAACTATAAAATTGGATTTTATTAGCATCAGGTATAAAGTTAATTTTAAATAATTAAAAGTAAAAAATTTGTTAGAAGAAAATTATCTTTTTTGTTTATTTAAAATTAATATTAAAGACTGATGATAATAAGACTGTTAAAAATTGTAGTTAAAATAGAAAACAGCTATTTCTTTTTCTTTTTTTTTGTATATCTAATGATTAATGATACATGACTCGGAACACCTAAGAATTTCTGTTGTATCGAAGTAAAAATGCGGGCGACAAATTCTGATTGTTGTTTCCCCAAAACTATGACAGAAGGATTTTCTTGATAAGTACGAGACTTTTGTCCAACTTGTCGCCAAGATTTACCCTGCTGAATCAGTCCCTTCTGTAGCAGAGTTGCGAGATCTTTTAGCTTCCATGTAAAGCTCTATACCTTCTTCAATTATTTTGCCTTGTAATCACTTTTTTATGACGACGTAATTCGATTTACTTAATTTCTGGTCTTAATTACTTGAAAGCAAGCACTGTAGTGCATCATAGAAAGAATGTGATGAATAATGTTTAATTACTTGATCAAGAATGTGATGAATATCGTAGCTTATGTTTAATTTTAATACTTTGATTACCTTTTGATAGTCACTCTTTCTGTACTTGATTAGAATTTAATTAGCATGTATTTAATTGTATAAATTTTAAAGGTTTATTATAAACTTTTATAATAATTATTTTAAAGTTGGGTTAAATTGTATTTTTTTATTTCTTTATAGTATTAAATATGTAATTTTAATTTCTCTATTTTTAATTCTACAATTTTGATTCTTTCATTAAATGCTCATTTAATAATTGTTAAAATTTTAGTATTAATAATGATCTAACATTAAATGAATGATATAATTATTAATATTTAATAATATTTAGATTAAATTATAATTTTAGTTCTTATTTGTATCTTATTTTATTATTTTGATGATATAAAATAAGAAATAAAGTGAAATTTAATTTAAATGTTATTAAATTTTGATTATCATGTCATTTACTTTATATTATGATTAGCGCAATTTTAATCATTGATGAGTGAATATTTGATGAAAGGATTAAAATTGTAAATTTTATAAAATTGAGACTAAAATTAAGAAATTAAAAATAAAGAGATCAAAATTCTGGATTCTATATTATAAAAAATAATAATAATATAATTTATCCTTAAAATTCTATTTAAGATGATATTTAGATAATTAATTATGTAAATAATATTGTATCGGAACTAAACTAATTTGATCGTGGTCAGTAGTTGAAAATGTGATTTTTTCTAAAGCTATTTTTTTTTTTAAATTATAGTATTAGTATTAAGGGATGCATTAGATTCTCTTCCGGTATGCCTAAAAGTCTCACATCGCTTAGGAGTTGAGATTAAGGGTAATTTATAAACACGCTCCCTCCTTAATCGATTGAGACGCTTTTTAAAGGATAAAAACGTAATGGTCCAACGAGTGCCAAAGCGGACAATACCTCGAATGTGTTGACCCTAACGATGATAACGGACTTACGGTAGGAACATTTGGTGCTAGAAGGAGAGCCTAGGCCACTCTTGCCCCTTAACATCGACTGGGGAACTTGTTCTAGTATGTCTAAAAGCCTCACATCGCTTAGGAGTCGAGGCTAAAGGTAGTTTATAAACACTCTCTCTCCTTAATCGATTGAGACGCCTTTTAAAGGACAAAACCATGACAGTCCAACGAGTGCCAAAACGGACAATACCTCTAATGCACTGACCCTAACGATGACAACGGACTTACGATAAGAACAAATTCCTTTAAATGTCTTTGTAGGAATCTAATGACTTTTAAGATTTTGTTTAAAAAACTTATAGACAAGATTTTGTAATATGAATTTTAAAGGATATGTATCTTAAAATTTTATAAGATTTGAAAGGATTTTATTAGATTTCAAAGGACAATATGACTTTCTAAAAAATAATATAATTAATAAAAAATAACATAAATAACAAGGTTTGAATAAAAAAATAAAAAATATTTTTTTTAATCTTTTAATAAATAATTGATTCTGGTTTCATATCCTATTAAGTAATATTCTCTATATACAACCCTCTATGCATTTGAATTTGAAATGTTCAAATTTGAATATATTATTCTCTTAAATTAATATTCTTTACATATTGTTTAAATAAATAATTGATTATAATTTTATATCCTCTAAGTTATTATATTTTCTCATTCATGCTATTGGATTTGAATAATATATTCAAATTTATGATATTTATTAATCAGTAGAGTTTTCAAAATATATTTTAATAAGATAAAGAAACTGAAATAGAGAAGACATGAGGAGTGAGAGAGAAAAAAATGAGATAAGGGGGGCGAGAGATAGAGGGAGAGGGAGAGAAAGAGAGAGAGAGAGAGAGGGCGGGGGGGGGGGGAGGAAAATGGTGAGAAAGAAAAAAAAAAAAAGAGGAGAAATAAGCAAGAAAAAAAGGTAATGTGAAATCTCAAAGATTTTGATAGAATTGTTGAATGAGTAAATTATATGTAAGTTCTACTAAAAAGACTTCAAAAATTCATCCTTCAAAATAAATCCATTGAAATAAATCTCTGTGTTTTTGAATATCAATAATTTTTTTAAGTGAAAAAAATCTTAATTAAATATAACCAAATTTTAACATACTCCTAAAAAAATCTTGATTGTCTTAATTGGATATCACTAGATTTTGATGTACCCTTAATTTTTTTTTAATTATTTTAAGTGAATATCACCTAACTTTTTTATATTAAAAAAAGTCTTATTGAATACCACAAAAAAAAATATAATTAAAAAGTCTTTTTAAATTTTTTTAAAATCCCAATCTATTTCATCTCTTTAAATAAAATCGATGTGGTATTAATGAAACATCTATCGCATCATTACTCTCAAAATAAAATGAAATAAACTTATAAAAATTACATTACATTAAAAAAATTGTTCGATTGATTTAAACTATCTAAACTAAGTTGAGAATTTTGAGATAGGTCAAATTGGTCATTTTATTTTATTTTATTGTTTCTATTTAAATTTTACAAAGGAGAATATAAAAAAAACCCAAGTTAAATAGACTCAATAAGTTTCAAGTATGAAAATTAGTGATCCAATCTGTTTGGATTGATCTATTGGGTCTAACTAAATTGGATTCAATGTTTTAGCCACTTTTTTTAAAGTCTAACTTAGTTATTGTTTAACTCGTCGAGTCAAATCATTTTTGACATTTCTAATTTTTACATATTTATAAAAATAGTTAAAATTGGTTCAATTTATTTTTTTATGAAAATGATTGGATTTTTAAAGTTCAATAGTAAGTGAAAGATGAGAGGGAATGCGATGAGTTTTGCCCATTCAATAAGTTATAAAAGTTGTAAACTTTCTTAATCAGGCTAACAAAGTTATTTGTGTCCTAGCTTGTTATGCCGAGGGGAGATTGCAGATTAACTACAGAGCTTTGATTTATTTGAGTTATTTACATTAAATAAAGAAGTATGTGAACTTAATGCATAATGGCTAGCAATGTTGTCCTGTACATTGAATATATATATATATGTTTGGAGAACTTGACAAAAGATCGGCTATCTGAACTTAGATTATCATTGAGTACAATGTGATGATGGACTTAAGATTTGACTAAATAGTTATTTAGATAGAATGTAAAGTAAACATTGTTATCTCTAACACAAACGCTCACAAGATCTTGGTGACGGGTGGAACTAATAATGGATTTTTTAGATGAAATGTGATGTTAGATGGTGAAGCAAAATAAGTTGAACTGGCAAACTTTGTCCGTTGCCGAGGAAGACATGTTCTTGATTATTGATGGGTGTATGGTGGATTTTTTGTGTCACATAATTTTTTCAAAAATTATTGTATTTAAATTTTTATTTTTGAGAAACTAAAAATAAATAAATGATGATTTGTGACACCAAATTATAGGTTGAAAAAATTAATAAAACTTAAATCATCTTAAATTAGAGGTTTGTATATGGGTTCTTAAAATAAGATTTGGTTCTTTTTTTTTCATTATTGAAGTGCAGTGCTGTAGTTTTCCCAAGTAAAACTTATTCTTATATAAGAAATCACAAGAATCGGGTCCTTGTAACAAAAAAGGAAGTTGGTTCATTGTGAACCCTCATAAAATGAATTAAAAAATTCAAATTTTCCATTAAAGGAAAAAGTTATTAAATCATACATGACTTTGAGAGATCTATAAAAGTATATTATTTTATATAAAAGTGTATTTTTTATTTAAAATGGATTTTATTATTTGATATTCTTATATCATATACGATGATCTATAAAGAAACATAATGTGTGTTAGTCAAAACTATGGAAGATTGTGAAGTAATGTCAAACTTATCCTAATTTTTTTTTATTATTATCAGTAAAAAAATATTTTGTGTCTTCAATTGAATATACACGTTAATAATAGTATGAAATATTTTTTTTTTTCAATAGTAGTTTTAAGAATAAAACTTGTACACCAAAACTTTTGTAATATTTATTAATTAATTTCGTATAATTTTTTATTCTTATTTAAAAGGTTAAAATTGTCAAAAATAATATATAGATAATATAAAAAAAATCTCTTTATATATATATATATATATATATATATATATATATACAGAAACAGCCGAAACCAGCAAAAAAGGCAAAAACACAGAAAAAGCCAACAAAAA